CTTTTTGTTTTTGGCATTAAAAGCAAATTTACAAATTAGTGTGAAATTATGGCCAAAAAAAATGAAAAAAGCACACAAACGAGAACAGCTCAAAAAGCAACAATAACAACAAAGTAATTTGGCCGAAAGAATAGAAAGAAAAAAATTATGAACGAAGTAAAGCAACAACAACAGAAAGCAAACTCACTGAAAATAAAAGCTGCTAAAATAATATGTTAAGAAAACAAAAGAGGAGGGAATTCAAATGTCAGACGACTTCTAAATACACTCACAAATTTAATAAATAATAAGAATTTAGAGCTAAAAATATATTTATAAAACCTATTTCTGAGGTCCTCCATCATACTCAATTGAAAGTTTCCATATACATTCTTTCCGATATGAATAGACGACTACCATAAAGTAAAGGTTACAAACTGAAATGAGAGATAGAAATATCGATACAGATATAGATAGATCTAAATATTAATAGAAATATATTCAATGCTATGATACATACCATATCCAAAAGTAGCAAAAATAACTGTGTAGGTACAAAACTCACATCTTATAGCCATGAGACAAATATATATAAAGCCAATCACCACATGTATGCCACTTCCTATCAAATAAGTCAACAAAAAGTTGGGCGATTGCTAGATGTTTAACCGATATAAATGGGCAATAAAATAGAAAAGTTACTCATGTGAGATCTTACAAAAATAACGCCCATAAGCAGGAAAACGTTGCAAATCAGATATCCCATACTGGCCAAGCGATACACTATCAAAAACTCATTTCCCTTAAACCCTATATAAATCAGATTTAGAAATAAGTAAAGATGTATAAACATATTCTTATATATATATCGAACTTTGATTTCAACTTACATTGACCCAGGCAAATGGCGTGGAATGACAGTACGAACTCCACTGCATAGATGACGACACAACCGCAACGCAAATTCACGCAAAAGCAACATTTCTTTAAATGTTTCATATTGTTTGTTATACAAACTACACTTGATGCAAAAGTCATGGCCTAGCTATAAGTCCCTGATCTAGGCTAAAGTATACACACAACAAGTTGTTTAGCCGTAGTACACGGAATTTCCAGCAAGGTCAAAGTCAGCTGCTCGGAACCACTAAAATAAAAAAAGCCAAACAATGGCCAAAAAAAAAAAAAAAAAAAAAAAACAAGCAAGAATGCTCTACTCGTAAGTGAACGGCTTGAAGATACCCTACAAATTGCCTTTTAGATTTAGTGGAAAATGGTAAAGGTTCATTAGTTCAGAAATAGCTTAGCTTTTACGGAATATGGCAAGTAACGTCTGGTTTATCGATTGTTATCGATTTCATTGATAAAAACATATCGATTGGAAACTACGTTACTCATCGGAGCAAGAATTCGTTTAACCAAGAGCCCAAATAACTTATGATTGTTAACTTTCATCTTTTATCAATTTCTCTTACGCTTTTGTGCAAAGCACATATGTCCCTTTACATATGCATGTGTCCTCGATACCCACTTAAAGCAGATTCCAGGGTATAAGAAAACCTTGTACATATAGTGCTTGCTGTGTTATATGTTTAATATTCTAATTTAGGCTTTGTTCTATGAGCTGCTAAAGATTGTGAGTAACTGATGGGCGGGGGCGTTGGCGGTTAAGGGGAGTGGCAGCAACTCCAATTTGACAAGACAAAGTCGTTGAGTGCCTATATAAATTACAATTTGTTCAGCTGGAGTCGACGCCAGAGTGCTTGCTGCGGGTGCTTGGCATTTAAATGGAGTAGATATGAACTGATATATGTATATATATATTTGTTATATATATATATGTTTGTATATCCACTTACCTTTCGCGATATTTCAATGAATAAAATAGCCATTCAAACAGCTTTTAATTAACAGTCAGCACTGGCAATCAGCGACGCACGTGCGTTCTGCTGGCCCCCACCGAAATAAAAGAAACGAAACAGAAAATGAAAATTAAGCCGGAGAGGCACAGCCATTAAAATTCATTAGCCATATGCACATCGGCCGCGCTTTTATTAATAAACAATAAAACACATTAAAGAAACCAAGCCAAAAATGAAGAAAGAAGCAGCAGCAGAAGATAAATAAACGGATGAATCGAATTTTTGAATTTTGGCAACGAGAGCAGCTGCATTGCCAACTCGATTGGCCAAAATAACAGCGGCTAAGCAACAAAAAGGTCAAAACGCTTTTTTGATTGTTTGCTACAATTTCGCACGCTCTTTGTTTAAAAGGCGTGGCCCTTCGTTCCGCCAGCCAAAAAGTCAAAAAATGCCAAAAGTGCATTAGGGGTATTACTGTAGATCAATAATTTTTTTCTATCTAATATGTAGGTTAGTTAATAAATAATTAGGGCTCAGCTGAAGCAAGATATAAACTTTCAACAATTAAGAATAAAATTTAAGTATTATAAAATATAAATATATAAATAATATTTATTTAAATCGGATTCTTAAAATTTTAAAATAATTTGATAATTTTATTTATATTTATTTAAGTGCTTAAATAAATTGTTTTAACATTTTTCTAATGCATTGAACTTAAACAGCCAAACCGAATTAATTTTATTTTTGCATGTGTCAGAGTGGGAGCTTGATAAATGCACATATGCTCTTTTTGCCTACATGAACTAGTAACAAAAAGGTTCTTTTACTCTTACAATCTTTCTCTTCCTCTCTCCCCTTCCTCGCCTTTATGACGCAATTGTCAAGCCTCGTCGTGAACTCGCCTTTTGCTTGCTTAATTGTGTAATTGTTTAAAAATAAATTACAATTTCGTTTAATTTCGCGTTGATAAGCTCGCGTATGACTAATATTTTAGCAGAGGTTCTGGACTAGGGAAGAACGGGGCAGGTCCGCTGCTGCAATGAAGGCACGAGTCGACAGTCGGTCTGTTATACTTATTTTTTGTTTATGTCTTTTTACTCTTTCTTTTTTTAATTTTGCTTTTCTTTATTTATGTTATATAATCGAGGTATAAAATGCTGTATAAATATAATGAAGGTATATATGGAATGTTTTAAATATAAGTAAAGTACAAGAAACAAGCTTTGAAGCTCTGTAAATAGTGCTAGATAAATACATTGTATACCGTATCTTTATGATGATGTTAGACTATAGATAGCTCAGTTGTATATACATATATATATATACATATATATATATATATATATATATATATATATATATATATATATATATATATATATATATATATATATATATATATATATATATATATATATATATATATATATAATATGTTATAGAATTGAGTCAAACTGCGAATCATTACCAAAGTAAGCTGACTAAGAAACTGAAGCGTTTAAGTTGTTTACTATTTCTAATATTCAAATAGATATATATATTATATATATATATAGACCTGTGTGTGTATTTCTCTGTCCATATATAGAGTTAATCGTTTTACAGCACTTAAAGCTGAATGTTTAAAAATAGTTGCTACTCTGTGGTAAATTGTTAATTGTTATTGCGCTAATTCGATAAGGGGCGTTCGGCTGCTATTGGGTTCAAGTTCAGTGGGTGCACGATTGGGCGGTTGCTGTGCTGAAGGTTACGCCCGCCCACATACACCCGCCTAAGATAACACTTTGAAATTGTTGCATAAATAATAATAATAATAATTTCTGAACAACTGAAATAATATTTTAATCTATTCAATGTCAAGGTCAAGCAAGACACAACAAGAATTTCGTTTGTTTTGCTCTCGACATTTCTTTTTCTTTTATTGTTTTTTTTCTTCTTTCGCCTTTATTTATTCTCCCTCTGTTTATTTCTTTGCTTGCCTCGTTGTTGTTTTTTTTTTTGTTTTATTTTATTGAGTATTGTTGATAACTCTATTTGCTTTGGCTTTAAAGACAGCAACAACAACAATGAAATTCTTCAACAGCCCGTGACAAGGCACAAATCCAACAACAACAAAAACAACAGCGGCAAAAATCCAGCTATGGGCATAATATTTGTTTTGAATTTTTACTTTTTATATACGTTCTGTTAGTAAACAGAGTATATTAGCTTTGTATATTTCCTCTTGCTTAGACAGACATAATAGAAAGGCTTCTTTTCAACGCACATGAATGAGTATCATGCAGTCGGTTATGGCCGTTTCAAATATATTTTTGCAGTTGTTATTTGTTTAAAATTTGACTCAGTTGTTTGTTTTGGTTTTATTTATAGCAAAAAAACTTTTATGATATTTGCTTTACTTTCCGTTTGTCAAGCCAAAAAATATTTTTGAAAAAATAAAAAAGGAATTAAAATAAAAGCAAGTAACAAAGGAAATATATTAGAGCTTAGAATTGATGACTCATGAGTGTAGCTAATCGAGTTTATCCATATTTTTTTGGTCAAGTTTTGCTCATAGGGAACATCTGTTTAGTGCGAGATCTGTAATTTGAAAAAGTCACGTATTAGCTTAATGAAAGCCAAACATTTGACAGGTATATAGCTGCGCTTGGGATATGTGATTGGGGGCTATGTCGCCTCTCGTAGCCAACTACGTGCGCTTTGTGGCTAAAGGAAATCTTTATCTGGCGGCGACGTCACTTTGTGCAGCAAGGCACATGCAATTTCCGCTGGCTGTCAACTGCCAACGTGTTCAATATGCAATGCTATGATGCGAGAATATTGTAAGAGAAATGCTGTCATAATGTATATTACAATATATATATAAATATAGTAGCAAAGCATAAGCATAGGTATATTGTAAATATAGCCTGCAGTGTGTGGGCGGAAATGGGTGTAAAAAAAATAAAAAGAAAAATAAAAGGCAATTGCTAAAGGAACATCAACAACTTGAAAAAGAAATTTGAATCTTTGTTTGTGTTGAGATTTTGTGTATTTAATGCGGGGTATGCTCAAGTTGTGCATTTCTTATACTTTTTATCTCTATGCGTATTTATATATATATGTATATATTTTTTCATATGCTTATCATATTTTGTTTTCGTTTTTTTCTCCTGACAGCTCCACCTCTGGTTGCAATGGCATCTTCTCACGTCGCTTGGATTTCTCATCATTCAATTTATTGCCAAAGACGCGTTTGAATTCTTATCAAGTTAAGGTGAGTTATTGCTAAAGATATATATATATATTTTTGATTCTAAATTGTAAATTATTCAATGAGCAAGTGAAATAGCGAATTGGCCGCGCCCTTAACTCATTAATCAACAATTCTAGCTGACTTTAGCTATTTGTAAACACTCATTCAGTCGCTTGCTTATTCACATTTCTTTCTTATGCTGCATTCATTCACAAATGTCCGATTCGCTGGGCTTTCAGTTCTTGGAAGTTACACACAAATATATATATATGAAATCGCCTGACTTGGCAAACTAGCAATTGGATATGGTCTTGAGACAGGCCATAGCTATGTTGTGGATCTTTCGGGTTAGGGAGCCAGCTGCTGCTGCCTGGGCGGGTTGTTGTGGCATTGTTTGCATAGCGCAATAGTTTAGATAATTTGCAGATGTTGTATCAAAACAAAATGACAAAATTCTATGGAAAAAGCTGTACACGAAAATTTGATGGCAACGTTTGTTTTTTGTTCTATTTTGTTTTTGTTATTGTTTATATTATGTTTAGGTGTCACATGAAATAGCTAAAAAATGTGACTTTTGTTGCTTGTAGTGAATGTCAATATCTTGTCTAAGGGAAATGGAGCATTTAGTAAGTGATTTTATGAAAATTGAAGTTTTGGAGTTATGGAATTTCGCTGGACATTTGATATGATGTTGGGAAGAAGGGAGAGTTGGGGTGGGAGCAACAGGGAGAGAGAGGAGCGCAAAGAATTCAGCTAAAAATTATTATATATAGCTTTATCTTCAGTCTCATAATTAATTGAGGTATCAAAAGCTAGCCTAGCCTAACACTGAAAAGCTTAAGTATATAGAACAGTTCTTGCTAGATAAGCTCTGAAGTTGATAAGATATATATTTTACAATTTCATGACTAATAAATAAATACTTTTTTAACTTTGCCTAGAGTATTTGTGCTTCGTTGTGGTCTTGTTACTTGGTTGCAGCCTCTCTCGTAGCTGTATTAGATGTAGGCTGTATTAGATTACTGTTTACACTTTCTGTTGTGCCAATGTCGGCATATTTTATGTGTGTTTGCGGAGCAGCGAGGCAATGCTAAAGGAACGAGGCAAGCAATTTTCAACTGCATACGGTTTTGATATGCTGCGGTTTCTATTATCATCATTATTATTATTATTGTTATTATTATTTATTACTGTTGATAAGTCTGTTCATAGTATGGTTATGCGAGAGCAGCGGATATTGAACTGTACGCCATTGAGCAGACCGCACAAGTCGTTCAAGTAGCAATTAGTTGAAGCTGTAGACGCAGTCGTGAAATGCATAAATAGAAAATGCAAAGCTTTTGAGAGTTTGCTTTGAATATTTCATGACAGATACACATAACATCCATGCACTCACAGGACACAATAGCAATTGCAGAGTAGATAATGCGAAAAGGAGTTGAAGCGCGGGGCACAGGGACAATAGCAAAATATTTGTGGCTACCTGTCGCTGCAACTATAACTGTAGCTGTAGCTGTATATCTATAGCTGCTGAATCCCTTGCCAACTTAGGTACCCCATCTGCTCCCAGCTTGGTGCTGGCTTTTGTCTGCTTCAAAACTTTACAATTCAATTTTTTTCCTTCTCCCTCGCTCGCACTCTCTATATTTATATCTGTGCGTGTTTTATATCTCAAACTCTCTCAATCTCTTTCTCTATTTTGGCAGTCTGCCGCTTGGCATGCATTTGAAATTGCATTTTGTATTGAATTTATAAATATTTAATGCCATTCAAAATGCCATGCAATCGCCCAGACCAAACGAAACCAAACCAAACCGAAACGAAATGAAGCTAAAACCCCAAACTGATTCTGAAGCGTTGGCGTATTAAATTTGTATAAACCTGGCCATGGCTAACTGTCCAGGATTTGTTAGCCAAGGATGCTCAAACTTTTTTATTTCTCTCTCTAGCTTTTAAAGCAACTAAACTTTCTGCTCATCATATTAGTTGCTGCTGCTGCAATTTGAAGAGTTCCAAAAGTTTTTGCCTTTCGAAGTGGACAAGTTTTAGTTTGAATTGGAAACTGCGCGGATTGGATTGCGGCGCAACTTTTTTAAAATGATAAAAATGAAATTTTTTTCTTATGCTCGAATGCCTTTTGGCAATGGCGCATCGCCTGGCGTGCTCGTTGTTTGCCCAACGGATTAAGTTATCAAAATTGAAGCAAACTGGTTTCCTAATAATTAACACAAGTCAACTTGTTAATCATCGTTCAGCAATTGGCAGCAGTTGATTCCCGAAAGGGTTGTTTGTAAGCCGCATCGCTGATTTTTTAATCAGCGCATATCATTGACTGGCCCTCGGGTCCTTTCCACGGGCTCAGCTCGTTCCGTCAGCTGTCAACATTTTGATTGCCCCTCAGCGAACTCGTCTCAGCTTTTAATCAGCTATAATTATAATTACCAAATAATAAAAAAAAGGAATGCTCAAGTTAGGACACTGTTCCGGGTAGTTTCTAGCGTGTTTTCATTGCGACTTAAGTCAACTTTCGTTTCGTCATTTATTACGCTTCACATTTTTGTTGGCACATCTGCTAATTGTTGTTGCGCTTCTCCGACTGTGATACCCTTTACATTTCTATTCTTGTTTCGTTTATGGGGTGCCGTCCCTCATTGATGATTAAGCGTGGAAAATTGCGTGTTTTGATTGTTGCTCGCTCTTTTACTCGACGGTATCAAAAAGGATAATAAAAATGGGGATTATTAAAAATGTTTTTGTGTAGATCTTTCAATTAAAATGTAGTGCATAATATAACAATTATAGTTTACTTTATATCTATATATTAAGTTAAAATATAAATTTATATTTATAAATTACTAAATAATATTTTAAATGTAGTCAAAAAAATTTTTTTATTATATATTATACATTTTTATATATTTTAAATTTTTATATATTATATATATTTTATTTAATTTTACATATTTTATATGTTGTATATCTTTATAATTTTTATTTTTATATATTTTATTTTTATATTATTTTTTTATATATTTAATTGTTTGTTCTTAAGTTTGTTTTAAGTGTTTTAATTCTTCTATATTTGTATTTATATTATATATATTTTCTTTTAATATTTTAAATATAATATGTTTTTAAATTTTATTATAGGTACATTTTATTTACTTGTTTTTATTATTTAAATGCCTGTTTTCATTAGGTTTAGTTGTACGAAGTTCAAGTTTATATCAATATATTAAAAGCTTAATATGAGTAATTTGAGAAATAAGTAAAACAAATTGTTATCAAATGCAGCTAGGGTATTCCTATATTATATGCGGCCCATTCATTTCGATTTCGATGTCGATGTCGATGTCGACGTCGATGTTTAGTCTGCCAATCAATCTTTGTCTTTGCATGCCACTTGCGAAAAAAGTCTGGAAAAGAGCGAACTTTAAACAAGAAAATAAGTTCGTTTTATTTTTTTATTTAGTTTTTTTTTTTTTGTTCAAATGATTGATGAGCACGTTCATCTGGCTATTATGGCGCGCAGATGTCGTGAATTGGAGCTGAAATTTGGAATGCATATAGATAAATACGATACGCAAATATTTGCACAGACATTTGCTGGCAATTCAAAAAGTTTTTGTATTCCCACTTTTTTTTTTAAAAAATGTATGAATTTATAAATTTGGATGTTTTTTTAAAAACTTTTGGAGGCCATTCATGGCGGCTCGTAGAGCATTTCCGTTTCAAACAGCTGGCAGCACAGACTAAAAAAGAATCGGGAGTACACAATGCATAATACTCGTTTGTGGTATGAAAAAGTGTTAAATGCATTCATAGATCTAGCTCTAGGCCAAGTGAACAATGAACTAAGGTTCTTTAAAGGCTAAAAGTGATTGGCCAATGGACATCTCAATGAACCAGTTAGAAGTAGATTTTGGGCAAATTAAAGCTCTCTTTTCGTGCGAACGCTGTGCAAATCCAATATACTTTTTAGCCATTCATGAGCGAGTATCAAAAACATTCCGAATATTTGTTGTTGCACGTTAGTTGACACTTTTGGAAGGAAGTGTTGACACTTGGAAGATTGATTGCTGCACTTTTTATTCTTGTTGCAATGCCCGCTGCCAAGCATTTTGTTTGTTTGGCCTGAACCCAAAAGCTATGCGACTGCATAGGCGTTTGTGCAACGTGCAACGTGCCACATGAAATGCGTCTCGTAGGCGCCAGTCCGAGAATAATTTATGCAATTTTGAACTCTTCAAAAGGCAAACGAAAAATTGCCCAACCAAATATAATATATTTATGCATGCTGCATAGCTACAGCTACATCTGTGTGTGTGTATGTGTGTGTGTGTAGTTCATTTCCATGCACCATATAGTTTATGGCCCGAATCACTCATCGTTGCTTTTGACGGACATTTTGACTACGCTTTGCTTTTTGGAACTTATATACCCTGTTTCCTTAAGAGCTTGAAAGTGTGTTAAGAACTTGTAGAAGTGTTGTACATGATATATTATAACTAATACATATGAAACTATACTTCAGATGAAGTTGCATCCATTTAAGTCAACTTAGTTGTGGCATGAGCTTGAAGCCTGCGTGCTCATAGGGCATGTGTTAGTTGAGCATATTTAGTTTATCATATTGTTGTGGCATATTTTTTGGTTTATTTAAAGTGCCTCAATTTATGCAAAAGTTCTACGCCAGCCACGCCCACACACAGACACTCACACAGGTAAATTGTGCTTTGGGCCATGTTTGCTACGTATTTTTGGAGTGTTGAGTGGCGTCTGGTGACTGGTGACTGTTGGAGTCTGTAGACTACGCCGGAGTTTTGGTAGTAGCTCTCTGTCAGCTGTAAGTGATGGGCGTTGTTGCCGTTGTTGCAGTTGTTGTTGTTGCTGTGCTTGATTGGCTTTAACATGACATTTATTGTGACTGCCGTTGCTGTTGCCGCCGCAACGCAGCAACATTGTTACAGGTTGTAAGTTGCTTTTGTTGTTGTTGTCATTTAAACATTTGATGTGCATTG